CGATTCTTCTGAATTTCCTCTATTCATACAGTTAACTGCCCATTCGTTATCTTAGTGCTGAATTGTCTTGGTTAACCTACATAAATGCAGATGTTCAGTTAATGATGCAATGCAAAAGAAGAAAAGTCTGAGTAATTGAAAAATACTATCAAAGTTATGACTCAGCTTTAAGAAGGATATTTTATGCTCTGTTCCTCGCGCTTCTCTCCTTATTTTTCCTTTTCAGCGCTTCATTCTAATCCTTAAATATCAGTCTGGATAATTGCCGAAGACTTAATTACTTTACCGAGGAGCCTGTAAATTTATTCTGACAAAAATCAACAGGATGTCTGTACATTTATCTCATCTATTTTGGATTTACCTTGCATTGTTTCTCAGCCATTAGTGGTTCGTCGTAACATAATAGTGGTGACTCGCACCAGCTATCACATTGTACATTACAGAGTCCAAAACATTATCTAAGTTTATGTGAAAAACTTAGTTACATATGAGTAGTCAATGTATCTTGTGAAATACTAAACGGAACAAACTTTTACGGAAATTATGTTAGCGATTTCAGCATTTTTATCTTGCCTGTAAATCGGCATGACTCTTGTAACATGTTGTTATCTGATAATTTATTATTATCTAATTTTCGGTTGGTGCGGCTGCGAAGGAGATCACCTCTGAAGAGACTTCATTTTCTGCACGAAGGTTACCTAAACACTCCTTGGGTCTGTTACACTAATGCCCGAGGCTTCCTCAGAAGTCGATAAGAGTTTGGTATACAGATAGGAATTGCCAAGGTTTATGTGATTGCATTCATCGAATCCTGGCTGAACCAGCTGGAGGAGAATATAATAATAATATTTATTCTCATATAACTACGTTACAATAGGCATGCCAGTTTACAGGCTAGGACAAATTGTCACAAATACTTTCACAGTTTAATTAAATTTGCATCATGTCACTGACTGAAACAGTATGATACAGCCACATTTTCAATTGGAGAGTACAAATAGGGAAGGTGCACAGTAGGTTTCTTGGACGGTTTGCAGAGATTAATAGTGAATTTGTTGGGAAAGGTCAATTGGAACGCGCTTGATACGAGCTGTGATACTGACAGTCATGTACATAGGGTGCATGTTCCCTAGAGGCTCCAAGGATTTTCCACCATGAATGTGGTTCTGAAAAGTGGGAAAAGAGAGAGTGAGAGAAAAAAAGGCAGCAGCGTGGCAAGCGTATATATAATAATGGCACTACTAAACCTGTCATGTTGAAGTCGTCAATACAGTGGCACGTCGAGGCAAAATTCATACTGACCACCAAAATTAAAGTAAAATGTGGGAATGTAAGAATGAAACCCACAAATGAAGGAGTACGGAAGTGAAGAAGGAAGATTTTTGGAGCGTGTGAAGTGGATAGAAGAGAAGTTGAAATAAGAAGCTGGATTTATTATGTACGTTGAAATTGAAACATCAGTCAAAAGAGTAGTGTCTGCAAAAAAACATCGATGATTAAAATTTTTCACCGTCAAACTGTTTTTCTATTGAATGCCGAACTCTAGTTTAAACCGTAGGCGCCTAAGTAAGAATGTTGCGGGTGTCTTGACAGAATAGCGACCTCAGCATAGTTTTGGAAACATGAACCTCAGAAGTAGCAAGCGTATAAGAGCAACCTCAGTGTTACCGATTAGTCGCCTCGTCAATCTGAAGAGCCGAAAGCAGACAAAATGTTCTGTGCCACAAACATGGGTGGTTTGAAGTCATGCTGGTCAGTAACTCCACCCTCCCTCCTTTTGTGTTGTTAGGCTCAGGTTGAATGTTTAAAATAAACCATTTTCTGTTCCACTTGGTGCTCTATGTCTCACATCCTGTTGAGAAACACTATTTCTGCAAGTTCCTTTCACAAACTTGTCTGGCTGTTACAAGTTATGAACCACTGGTTAGTCATCAATGCAATACAGAAATGGATACCCACCGCGGTAAATTGGATTTGGAAGGTGTAATATTGTTGGGTAATTGTCTGTATTATCATTTTATATTAACTAAAGACCGTTTTCTTCCAGAATTATTGTGTTTTGGTATCGGATCTGGGACAGCGCGTACCAATCTGCACCTATTGGAAACGGAGTGAACTGCTAGGCTGTAAAATTCATTTATAGATACTTTATCTCGAATGTTATGTGTACGTGGGCCATAGATAAGGACTAAACTACAGTAGGAAGATATGTGAGCTTGTGCAGGAGTTTAAAGGATCAGATTGGACTTAAGCCTTCTGTTCGATAATGGATCAAGCCCAAGTTCATTACATCGAGTTGGATAGTCAATGAGGTAACTATGATTTAGAACTTTTCGAGTAAAATTCCTTTGTATTCCTTCAAGCTTCAATATATCAGACAAGTTGGAAAATAAGAAAGAGCAGTATTCGGCAATAGGTCTTACGCATGCTTTGTAGAGAATTGTTCTGGATTCTCTATGAAAGAAGTTACTAAAGATGAAATCAAGCATTCTTCTCATTCGAGAAACTTTATTGGAGATATGTTCGGAGAAGTTAAGGTTGTGCGAATAATGCACTCCAAGATCAGTTACGGATTTGAGTTTGGGCAATACATTCCTGTTGAGAATGAGATCTATTTTGGGAGACGTGTCTCCGAAACAAGTCCACCCACATTTCTCAGTATTAAGTTCTAGGTTTCATTGCTTACACCAGACATCTACAGTATTGAGTTCGTGCTGGATTGTGTGCAACAAACTTCTCAAGTCAGATTTGTTAGTTTGGTAAATGACTTTTCGGTAATCCACATAGAGGTAGGTTTTACCAGTGCTGAAACAAATGCATATGCTTTTGATGTGGATTATGATAAGCAATGGACCCAAATCACTGCCCTGCATAACACCACTGGTAATTGGTCGAGTTGTAGATGTATTAGAGTTTGGAAATTGAACATGCAAGCACTGTCACACTCAACTACCTTAGGCGATCCGATACTGTGACCAGAATCTTCATCCGGTTTGTATTTTTTTAATTCAAATGCCATAAAACCTCTGGCGAACAGTAATCTCAATATTTATTATTTTTCATCAGCTCCTAAAGATTTTCTGCATTATACACAATAAGCCAGTGAGAACATAAACTTCGAAATCCATTATTGCATGCAGCTTCTATTGACTCAAGGAAATCTTTCGAGAATTTCCTCACAACTGGCATTTATCTGGCTTGAATGTGATCAGTATGGAGCTCAACCAACTGATGTGGATAAGGGATTTCCTTGTCGGGCATCAGTAAAGAGTAAGGGTTATTTATAAGTTGTCCAGCTGAGAAACTGCCTAGCGCGGTGCCTCAGGATACAGTTTGGGGTCAAGTGTCATTCCTCCTATATGTCAGTAGATTTTATGGTCTCCTATCTTGTTCGGTTCTGACATATGCTAACGATATCAAGATGAGGTAAGTGATCAAATTGACCTGCAGAAATTATCCGAAAGGTCTAGAATAACAGTTTGATGTTAAATCCGTTTGTGACAATTTGATCTAGCCTGTAAACTGGCGTGACTCTTGTAACATGGTTATTTGAGAATAAATATATTATTATTATTTTTTTTATTATATGTAATTGCGCACAAACCAAAAGTGGGAAATTGCAGAAAGTTATTGTTGATGGATGATGAAATGTAGAGTCCTTAAGGCAGGTTGACGTTTTTGTCGTGTTATTTCAGCCCATCTATAGATCGATAAAAACTGAAGCGTTACATTTCTTTAGCAGTTAAAGTTGTGTCTTCAAATCCACTGGCTTCATTCGGTATGTTTATAGTCTAAACCAAACTTCTAACTTATGATTTTTTCGTATTGTAACGCATTTCCAAGTACGCCTTACGTATTAGTTTACCTAGTTTAGTTCTGTATTCTTAGTCAAACTGTCAGGAATAGGAGAGCTTGAACTCACCTAGTTATCAGGATGTGAGTTTATAGCGATCCTAAACATTGTTAGAAAAGTCAAACCGGAAGTCAGAAAAGAGGAGGTTGGAAGTTATATAGTTTGGTTATTGTGAAGTTGGGGATCTATTGAAATCATGTTGCTAGTAGATGCTAGGAGTTGCGTCGCACGGCGTGCGCAACGGTGATATGCTGCGGATATATGACGAAGAGCCTTAAGTCAGGCTGTGTCTAGTAAAACTAGTGCCAACGACTTACGGAACTATTTATTTCATGGCTTTATTCACCATTACCCTCTTATTTTTCTCACTGTCCGAAACATCAAATTTACGAGAACAGTCTAAAGAAGTTCGCAATATGAGAAGAAACTAATCATCAGCTGACTGTGGACTATCCCGTCAAATCTTCACCGAAATGAACTGGTTCACTCAATACGTAAATGGGGGTCCATCTGTCAACACTGTCGGAATAAGGCGGATCAATTTAGGAACAAATATTGCTAGCTATTCAGCCTGCTCTCCTTCCTAAAGTGAAATCGATACAGGACACCTAAAGTTGTCACGCTCTGTTGAAATTCAGATAGGATGTGCACAAGACTCTAAACTGTTAAGATTAATATAGATCGACTGGAAAAACCTGCAAACTATAAGTGCTACATTCACCTTCCTAGGCTTTCATTCATTACACATCATCAGAGACATGGAACTATGCCAAAAACACAAAAAGTGGGCGCAGAGAAATCAACTGATTTATAGTGTACCGGTTTAAAATCGTCATGCTATCAACTACCGGCTTCGCTTTCTAGGTCCTCTGAACCTGAAGCCTGCTTCATCACTGATTTTTGCTCATTGCTATTCTAAGTTCTTGTACATGCATCTTGCACGTTTGCCAGGTTGACGGCTCACCTATTCTTTTGTTCATTTCGTTCCAGTCTCCGAGTTCATGCTACTCCGCATGCTCTTCTATAAACCGAGGTGATTTGTAGCTAGACGTAAACTGCTAAACATGCAAGTTGGTTACAATGCTATTGGGTATACCGGGAGCCATTTTTATGAGCTATTGTATATTGGACTTGTTATGCTTTATCAAGCTATTGACCTTTAAGGTCGATGTACAATTTTAACTCTAAGAGATGCCGAGGGCAAGGTTTTTTAAACCGAAGCGTTGTGACATCATTAGTGAGATTTCAGGTCCCACTAACGTCGTTAAACATGTACATGTTACTTACGACCAGGAGACGGGACAGTTCCATGGGATACCTGATTATTGGAAAGAAATGATAGAAAATTCGAATTTTTCGGCTGAAGACCGAAAAAATAATGCCGATAAAATTCTTAATGCTGTAACCGCTTTTAAAGAGTCTCAGAAAACTAAGTACTTGGGTTTTGAAGGCTTGGAAAGTGTTGAAGAAGGTTTGGTTATCTTATGTTACATTAGTGGTTGTAGATGATGAATTGGAAAAAAAGATGCGGATGTTTATTTTAAATCCAAAAGAGGAACAGAAAAACAATACTACTGCCGCATCTTCCCATCTAAAGGCCAAGCTTACCGCACCTGCAATCGAGAGGAAGAATGGTGCTGTCACTCCTCCCTTACCTCCGCCAAAGCCATCATTCAGTGACCTCAATAAAGTTCGTAGCTGTAATTATAATGTCTATCGTTTTTTTAGCCGGCGGCTCCCTTACTTCGCAAACGTGTTCGTAGAAAACTTACAGACGAGGAGTTCTACTCTGAATTAAGTTAGTGAAACCTCAAGTTGTTTACTTATTTGTTAACTAATTTTCATATGGTCTCCTTCCTTAATTATTTAGGTCAATAGTACCTGATTTCTGTATTTTGAATCTTGGTTTTAGATTCCGTAATAACTCATGAAAACCCTCGGGATATATATTCAGTTGAAAGTGAACTTGGTACAGGGTATGTACTCTTTAACTCTATTCAGTACTTTTTTTTTAACGAACTTTCGGTTTTCATAATCTTTGCAAGGTGTCTGTGGGACTAGTGCTTTTAAGGTGTCGCATGGACATTAAAAGCCGTTAGAATTTTTCCAACTTCTTTTCTACTAAGTTTATCACTACTGGATAAAAGTTTAATATGCCTCATGTTCTTTTGTAAACTTCACTCTGTTTATTTTACTACTCAATGCGTGTGCATCATATAGTAACCTAAAGTGGTCAACCACTTCACACCATAAATTCAGACGTTGACACAGACTAGTCCAGAAACAAAATTCTGCGCTTAGAGGGGGTCGCACTATGAATACGCTTTCATCGATGCTGAAGGTAATCAGAAGACTGTATGTTACCAGTATCCTCACCAAACAGGACTATTTCATTTACGTCTCTAAACCAACTGGTGAATATACATACTAGATTGATTCCTCGAAAGTCATAATATGAGCTTTATTAATATTACAACGCTATATTAAACGATCTTGTCGAACACCGCCTAGGGTTAATGAGTCTCGTAGCTTACTTTAAACTGTGCCTCGACAGAATCAATGCGTGGTTTATGTACTGTTTTGGTACGCTTGTCAGCAGCAGATTGTGATTAATCTTGTAGATCGGCGGGGTTAGATACTGCCTGTAAATCAAAAAGCTTAACTATAGTCAGGCGCTGATTATAACATCTGTTCCAAAACCTGAAGAGGGGTGCTTCCATGTCTAGGATCAATCTGGTTTGTTTAGGGTGACGGACAGCTATCAATCCACTTAACAATGCAGATGTTTTCAGTAACTTCGACTTCTGAAGTTTCAGAGGCAACTAGGTCTAGACGGACTACACCAGGCAACTTTTAAAGATGGTGGATAAATTCTTATCATCAAACTGTTTAGGACTGCTCAAAAGATGAAGTCTCACAACATTTCAGAATAAAACGGTCATCATCCCTGTATTTAAAAGAGCTTGCATAATCTACGCAGCAATTGTCGAGATATGAGTTTACTTTTGATTGTTTACGAACTGCCATCATCCGTCATGCTTTGCATACTGTTCAGAGCCCGTGGAAAAACGGGCTCACAAGGAATGTGGTAAACCCTTTAGTGTGTTGTAACTCCGTCCTTTTATATATTATACATGTGCTGATCTCATACAACTACCTACGAGTTATGCGAGTTTTTCGACTGTCTCACAGTGTTCACCATAAAATGTAAGTTTAGTATCTGGCCTCTGTTTGGCCTGCAAAAGTACTTTGCTTTTCTAATGTACAAAATATATTCTGTAGTTGCGGACCCTAATTAATAGATGCTTAAATACAATTTCGATAGCGGGCGCATTGCCGTTAATTATCAAAATATCATGATCAAAAAGTAATTCTCCAGGTAACAGGTTCGCATCACCACAAACTTCCTGAACATCTACTGGATTTGGCAACTCAAAATATCACATTCCACCTTGTTTATAACTGGTTAGTAACTGTCTTTAACAATGACAAAAATATCTAACTAACTTACTATGATGACTAATGTACCAAACGCTTATTTAACCTAATTCCAGAACTAACTTTATATAAAAACTATTACCAACTATTGTTTCACTCCTACTTAGTCAATATGACCTATTTATCGGTTTACTTTCTACTTGTTTTTTAAGCCCATTGTTTAAATCTTAATGAAACGTGTTAGAATGCGTTAACCTTTTTCTTCGTATTGTGTTAACTCTTCCATCTTTGGCGACGAAAGCATTTAAAGTAAGCACTTGGCCACTTTCTGGAAATGTGAATGCTGCCAGTTGTGCAATATATGTTACTCAAACCCCACTTAGTCACTGCAATCTGGATCCATTGAAGTCTAATCCCTATCGATATTTGTTAGAATTTTAGATCCTTATAGTTGTGCTTAAAGTACGGTTAAATATAGTTTACAGTGTACAAACCTAACGTACCTTTTACTTCGTCACAAATTTCTAGTGGCTCTAAGACCAACACTAATCTACCTTCATTTTCAGGTTCCTCAAGAAACACCCTTCCACGGTGTTTGCAGACGGAAAGTGACATCCGCCCTCATAACCGTAACAGCACACGAGACCAAATTGGTCAAATTAAAATCCTTCCTACACCCTCTAATTCCTCTCTCATCTCCACGACTAACGCTACTCACATTCCTTTACCTCAGTGCACCGCTAATGTAAACGATGCGAGTTCACGAAAAGTTATTCCTGGTCTCCTGAAACCCTGCTCTACACTACATGTTGGGGCTTTTAATGTACGGACATTGTATCAAATAGGGCGACAGGCTTCCTTAACTACGATATTAGAATCTCGAGCCATTGATGTATGCTGCCTCTCGGAAACGCGCATACAGGATCCTAGTAAAGTCATTCATTTGATTTCACCTTGTACAAATAAAGAACCAATTCGATTTACTCTTCGTGTATCCGGTATCCGTGATGCCGCTTCCTGTGGCAATGGCTGCTGTAGGTATAGCATTGAGTCGTAGGGCGGAACTATCTCTCCTAGACTGGATCCCAGTAGATAATCGCTTGTGCGCTGTCCGACTGAACGGGACAGTTAGGACTGGGAAAGATATGGGCAATCGCCGTTGCCTCTTCATCGTATCTGCCTATGCCCCCACTGAATGCAGTTCAGACGAGGCTAAGGATGAGTTTTACAGAAAGCTTTCGGACCTCCTCCAAAAAGCTAGGCGCTCTGATATTGTAATAATGGCTGGTGACTTTAATGCTCAAGTAGGTAGACTAAGTGAGCAGGAGAGACACCTAGGTGGGTGTTATGGTCTCGCAGCTCATAGAACAGACAATGGCGACCGTCTGTTGCAAGTATGCTCAGATAACCAACTATTTCTAGCAAACACTAACTTTAGGCATAAGGAAAAACATCTTTTGGCCTTGCGATCCCCGAAGTCGTCTCAACGTTGGACCCAACTAGATCACATCGCTATACGTCATCGGTGGGAAGGCTCTGTTGATGACTGCCTCTCATTCTGGGGCACATGTTTAGCTTCAGATCATGCCCTAGTGCGAGCGCGTATTTGTTTGAGGCTTACTAGACGTAGGAAAGACACCGCAAGGAAGCCTCTTCGGGTTTCACTTAATGATAATAAAGCCATAAATATATTTCAGGAGCAACTAGAAAGAGAGTTAGGCAACCATGTAAGCGATTCCCATCCGGAGGCGGGTTGGAATGATATCAAAAAGGCTGTGGAAACAGCAGTGATATCTGCTAGTAAGGTAAACTATAAGACTAGGATGAAGCCGTCGATCTAAGTAACATCCACCGAACTGATGAATGCTTGAAAACTCATCCTACCTGGCTCTGAACATAATGAAGAACGAAGTCAGCTTAGACGCAGGCTGATAAAAAGCCTACGCAATGACCGTAAACAGTGGCGGGTGGCGCAAGCGAAAGCGATAGAAAAGGCAGCGGCGATGAGTAACAGTAGGCAACTATTTAGGTTCAACAAGGAAACCGGTGTTAGAAATCCATCTTTTAGCGAAACTATCTCGGAAAAGGATGGGACTATTATTTATTCTCAATCCAGGAGATTGGATCGATGGGCAGAACAATTCAGGGATCAGTTCAACTGGCCTTCAGCTACACTTCGGTTACCCACGATCTCCAGTCATCCTGAATGGCAAATCTACTTAAGTCCTCCTAGTCTTTATGAAATTGAGAAAGCGTTAGGAAATCTAAAGCAAGGGCGAGCAGCAGGTTCTGATAGGCTAACTCCTGAGATGCTGAAGGTTGCTGGTCCAGCTTTCGCAGCTAGATTGACTGAGATCTTAGGTAGAATCTGGGAACTGTACGTAATCCCATCCGAGTGATCTCAATCACTGATTGTCCCATTTTATAAGAAAGGACAAAAGTCTTTTTGTGACAATCACAGGGGAATAAGTCTAACTAATATAGTTTCTAAATTGTTAGCCTCGATTATACTTAAACTCCTAACTAGAGCTCGTGACGAGCAGACTGGATAAAACCAGGTTTGTTTCAGACGAGGTGGCTGCATAGACCAAATTTTCACACTACGACAGGTCCTGGAACACAGACACACATTTAAGCGTCCTAAAATGGTTGTCTTCCTGGACCTAAAAGCGAGATTTGACTCAGTGGATCGTGAGGTTCTGTGGCAGTGTCTGTCATTGAAAGGTGTACCGAAGAAGTAAATTAACCTCATACAAGCACTCGAACACTACTGGTCGAGTGAGAGCTTATGGCGAACTGTCATCTGAATTCTCTACATCAAGTGGTGTCCATCAGGGATGTCCACTTTGCCCGTTCTTGTTTAATTTTGTCATAGACATGCTGCTAGGTACAACTTTGTCTTCTGAATTTTAAGGAGTAGACCTTCTACCAGGAGGCTCGCTTATTGACTTAGAATATGCCGATGACAGTTCTATTTGGAGAAGACGTTGACAAAATGCAGAATCTTCTGACTCCCCCTAAGCGACAATACAAGCATGTTCGGGATGCGGTTCTCACTGTCAAAATGCAAAACGTTGCTTCAAGATTGGTTGCATCGGAACCTGAACTAGTGATAGGGAGTGTAGTACTCGACCGTGTAGATCGCTTCACTTATCTCGGTATTCTCATTAGTGCTGATGTCGCGGTGACTGATGGAATCTCAGCTCGGATACAGAAGGCTCGACTGGCTTTTGCGAATGTTCGTTACTTATGGCACAGGCGAGATATCCGTTTGCTAAACGAAGGACGAGTGGAACATGGCCAGTGAGAGTAGAAGACATTCGTAGGTTACTGGTTTTCGATCATAGGTGTCTCCGAAGCATTGCTCGTATATCCTGGGACAACCGAGTAAGCAATGCTGTCGTTAGGAAACGGGTGCTAGGTAAGGATGGCAGGTCAATAGATGAAGTGGTGAAACTTCATCAGTTGAGGTAGTTGTGACATGTGTTACGAATGCCTAACCATCGACTGCCTCGACGAGCTATGTTTTGTGGTGTAG